AGTAACTCTTCATCAGGTGATAATACAGTGCTACTTCAATATATAGCAGGAGCTGGAGAGAGGATGGCAGTGCTGTTTCAAGAAGGCTTTTCTAACTTAATCTGTGATTGAATTAAAGCTCTCCATAGCACAAGCTCAAGGAATATTCACAAGCTGATATTGATATGATCTGGTTCTTATATATTCACGTTGATGCATTTGGCAGATGCTTTCATTCAAAGCGACTTGCATTGCATTCAAGGTTTACATCGTTTTTAATCAATGCATGGAGCTGAAAGAGTAGAAGTCATGGGAATGCATGCTCTGATAACATGCACAGCTGGGATGAACTTTGGCCTTTTTTCTTAGCTTTACTACGTACTTACATTTTATTCCCAAAGATTGGCTTTGTGTCACTGAGTCAGAGCTGATATTGTGCATCAGATTTGTCTTCTACAACATTAGAGAGATCAGGCCCATTCTATTGGAACATGCTTCACAATATGTTCCATTTATATTGATTTTATTTATTTTTTACTTTGTACAATGTGTTAAATGTTCACACGTGTTATAGACAACAAATGACGTTTTTCATCAAATGTGACGTGCATTTATTTTCTTCAACTGAAATATATATTTCATATATTTTAAAAAATAGACCCAAAAAAAGACAATATGTGGGTAAATAACATTCACATAAATATATTTTGAAACAATTTAGCAAATAATTTTTACTAATTATTTTGCAACAAAAAAAAAAAAATATATATATATACATTTTATTTATTTATTATTAATTTGTTATTTTATTCTAAAATATAAATGCACAGCAAATGCAGCAAATAAAATTTAGACATTTAAAATTAAAAAATGCAGCATATGTAATGCTTCATTGTGATTTTAAAGGAATGATGTGTATTTAAGAAGATGGATTTCATAATTTTATCTGTTTATACTATTTTCATGGTCGGGACAAAATGAGAAGACAGAATTGAGTGCTATAAAGATCTAGAGGCTATAAGGAAGCCTCACTGGACAGAAATATGGAGAACCAGAGACAAAGAGAAAGACCTGACAGATCACAGACTTTATTCATATAAGATATAAGAATTATTTAAGGCAGCATAATCAGATTATAGTTGGGCAGTACCATGAAATCAGTGCAGTATAGTGTGACACGACGTACAGTAATATGTTTGCGATATACTGAAGAGCCAGTGGATCTTCTGTAATCGAGGAACGCTCCTTGTGTTATTATTATTATTATTTATTTTGTGAGGTGCAGTTCTCGGTCTGACCGCAAGATGCCGCTGTTTCCCTGCAAATGAATGCAGGGGTTTGTTGGTTATAAAACGACCATAAAATGCTCTACCAAAACACACTGTCCAAAAACACTGCGATAGCTGCTTATTATCTTTAGTTTATGTTTCAATGCAGACTACAAATGTGGGAAAACAAATGTGCAACTACAACAGTACCAGAACATCTAGTATCGGGTCAAAGCATTTTTAATAAAATACACAAGTAGGATTTAGATGAGGGTTTATTGTTTATTTCTCAACTTCATCTGATAGCCTACTGATATTACAGTTTATGCGGTCAAAATATTAGTTTGCATTGGTTTCACAGACATCCTAAAGACTCATAACTCCTCAAATACAGTAATGTGGCAACAACAACTCGAAAAACATGATGTAATTATAGCCCAGAAGAGCCTGGTTGAGATTTGCATCACAGTCCAGCTGACTTACAACGACGTTAGAATTAAGATGAACTAAAATAAAATTACCCAACTGAAATATGAGGTCTGGTCAGTGTGATATCAATAAATTCCTTTCCTAGATATAAAGATATTAAACTGGTGAAGTGTGTAAAGGTCTAAATAATGCTGAAGCCTTTGCAATGATGATCTCTCGAGTCCACAGAGGAGAGAAAACACCGAGCACGAGACATTAAACATGCATGCTACATGCAGACTCATTATAGCTCATGATAATTGCATATGATGTCGTCAGACCAGGAGAAATGTCTCAGATGTTATCAGCTGCTGCTGACTGAATTCAATAAGCGTATGCTGCCGAGTGCATTTAATACACAGTCAAATATTACATTATTTTTTTTTCCCAACCATGCAATTCATATTTTATTATGCCAGTTATTTCAGATGATAAAGCAACTTTTTTGGTTTTTGTTATAAGCGATTAAATGTCTAGTTCGACTCACAGATTTTCAATAATAATACAGTACTCCTTTAGGTTGTAATAGAGAATATAAAACACACTGCGCGTAGCCTATACACATAATTATGCTTGCAATTATGAGTTTAATGTGCACGTGTTAATAACCGAAGCGCGCATTTTAATTGTAACTGTGTCTCGTTTTTAAAAAAAGAGTTACATTTGTGTTCTAATGTAAGCGGCTTCAGTGAGCGCTATTAGTACTTACTCCGCGCGCGTTATAAAGTTAACGCGTCGTTTGTGTTAAACGTGGATGGTTTCTACAGCGCGACGCGTTGTTAATGTCGCGCTTGATGGAATGCGGCGTTGTCCCATGCAAATCCGCCGCCTCGCGTCCTCCAATCAGAGCGCGGCGGCACTTAGCGTCTTCCAATGGGAGACAGGCGCTCGCGCGGTTATCTGCGCTGGAGGCCACTGAGCGGAGGACGGCGCTTCAGATGCGGGCGGTCGCGGCACTCAAAGCGGGCGTGAGATCTGCCGACGGCCGGCATCCGGATCTGCTTCGGGACGCTGTGAAACTCTTTCGCATGGGAGACATTCGCAGACTCTGACCTCCAGCTGCAGTGGATGAGAGGTCGAGCTGTGCGCGCTGTTGTAGTTGTTACGCGGAGCATCCTGAGCGCACCAATGATAGCGGTCGGGCAGATGGAGAGTAACCGGCAGAGTGCGTTCGTCCTGGGCAGCACTCCTCTGGCTGCGCTGCACAACATGACCGAGATGAAGAACTCTTTATTCCCGTACGCCCTGCAGAGCCCCGCGGGCTTCAAGGCTCCTTCCTTCTGCAACCTGAGCTCTCAGATCCCGCTGGGGACCCCGCATGGAATAAGCGATATCTTGGGGAGACCCATCACCGCCGCGGGACAGCTGCTCTCGGGCTTTCCTCGGATCAACGGCTTGACATCAGCCGGGATGTACTTCAACCCCGCGGCGGTGTCTCGGTACCCCAAACCGCTGACGGAGTTGCCCGGGAGGGCGCCTATATTCTGGCCGGGGATGATGCAGGCTGCGCCCTGGAGAGACCCGCGGGTTCCCTGTCCGGGTGAGTTTTTTAACACTTGTTGGTCATAGCTGAACGTCTCGTTCTGAGTTTATGTGGCTGACCTCGTCTTGTTTTCTCCAGCCCAGGCACATCTGATGCTGGACAAGGATGGGAAGAAGAAGCACTCCAGACCAACTTTTTCCGGACAGCAGATCTTCGCGCTGGAGAAAACCTTCGAGCAGACCAAATATCTGGCCGGACCGGAGCGAGCTCGGCTCGCATACTCTCTGGGAATGACCGAGAGCCAAGTCAAGGTAAGCAGAGGCGGGGTTTATTAATAAAAACTTTATTTTCTCAATGCAGAGCCACTGTCGGTTAAATGTGAAATTAAAAAGCAAAACTGTTGGTGCATTAATTTATAATGTTAAATGAATAAGATTTGTGTTGCGCTGCATTGCACAGCGTCTAGTATATTCGCACACTGTCTGGTCAACATGCTTTTATTATTTGAATCAGTTGAGTTCATGCACCTTTTGCTCGGTTTCAATATTTCAGTGAAGTTGCATGCAACTATTGCATCTCTTTTAAATAATAATAATTGATCACTGATGGTACGGACAGTGTGCTGAAGGGCCTTTCTTTCTGTCTCAGGTTTGGTTTCAGAACAGAAGAACCAAATGGCGCAAGAGGCACGCGGCTGAGATGGCCACGGCTAAGAAGAAGCACGACTCCGAGACGGAGAGGATGAAGGAGAGCTCGGAGAACGAGGAGGAGGAGGAGGAGGATGAATACAACAAACCTCTGGACCCGAACTCCGACGACGAGAAAATCACGAGACTGTTAACAAAGCACAAGACGAGCAACCTGTCCCTCATCAGCCCGTGCAGCAACAGCTCGGACACTTTGTGATGATGCTGAGACTCTTCATCATCTTCTTCTTCATCATCCTCTGCTTCAGATTCTTCTGGAGAACCGAGGCAGAATTAAGCAGGGTATAAACTCACTTCTTTGCTTTGAACGCGGTTGTACAGGTAGAAGTGGACGTGAGATGTATATATATTTTTTACTGAGTAAATTATGTTATTAAAGCATCATCATCATCAGACGAATAACGCCTATTCCGCCTGAAAGCTTCTCTTCTTTATTCTGGGAACAGGTGCACACGTGTATAAAGAAGTGCTGTAAATGATCTGAACAGAATTAGTTTGAATGAATGTACGGAAAATACACAGAGATGGATGAAGAGAATATGACCGCTTCCGCGAGGACACTTTGTATCATCAATAAATTATTTAACAAGCCGATGTCTGAAATATGTCCTGGTCGTTTTTTTAAATGTCATGTTTATTGGTTGTTTTGTGGCGCATATATTTTGAGATGTGCAGTTATTTGCACGCTAGCAAATGCATATTATGTTCTAGGCATCCGTGCATTAATAGCATATAGTAATGCTATTAAAATCTCACAGAGGAGCACGTGGTTTGCATATGTCCACACATGCGAGCATAACACAATTTATGGTATTAATTAAAACTGCGCCAAAATTAAAAAAATCTTTTGAAGATACCCCCGAACATTTATTTTACCCCCAGCACATTTCTGGCTTTAGTACACGTTTCATCTCAGTTTTTAGTGTTCATTTAAAATATCTGCTATTATTTTAATCTCCACTCTGGCATTTATCAGTTTTTAAGTCTTCGCCAACTCCAAAATCAGACCATTTTTCAATCTTAAAAAAACGCCATTATTTGATGTTAAAAAAGTTAATCATTTTATTTTAGTGACACAGTATTTGAGCTATGTTTTTTTCAGTCGATCAGATCGTATTTTAAGCTGTTGTATGGTCGTGTTACAATGTACCCACCTACGGGGCATGTTGTCACATTTCACTCCCATTGTTTTGAGGGTAAATAAAGAAAAACGTATACACTGTGATTATGAAACAAGGCGACATATTTGTACAAGACAAGTGTGAAATTACTGTGGATAAAAAATGATACTATGAAGCCTCATGTGGAACTGAGAAAGTCCAAAAGTGTTACATTGTGCCGCGCTCTCCATTAATAATTAGAGATGACACGCGCTCGTTTAAAGAGGGCCAACACATGCCGATGCAGCCGAATAAGAGGAACCTTTACTCTCTTTACAGACGAGGAGGTGTTAGCTGTAACTGATGAAGATAATCAGCAAGAGCTCTTTAAACAAGCATTTATAGATTCGTGTATACTTGTATTTCTCACGCCAAACGAGACGTTTTTAGATCCAACTTTTCCACTATTAGAATTAACATATGAGCGCATCGAAAACACCTTTTTTTTTGTGATATGCAGTTTTATATATAGAAATATACTTGCATGCAAAATTAAGACATAATCCTGAGCTTTCTGTTTGTGTGCATTTCCACTTTTATGTTATTTCCATAACAAATGATAATGATATCATGATGTATTCAGTTCTATAATGATTTTTATAAATAGTTTGATCAAATGAACACACAACATCAAATATAGTTAGACGTTCCCTAAATAACTATATATTTCTATGTGTGTGTGTGTGTGTGTATATACACTCTAAAAAATGCTGGGTTGTTTCAACCCAACTTCGGGTCAAATATGGACTAACTCAACTGTTGGGTTACATTTTTACATTAAATTCTTAACTATTTTCCCCCCCAATGATGGCAAATGCATGTAACTGTCAAAGGCTTGTTTAGTGGATCTCATGGTGCGACTGATGACAAAGAGGCACTGCTTCATTCATTCATTCATTGAGTTCTAATGCTTTTATTGCTTTTGGAGGTCTAGCCATCCACGAGGTCTAATCGCTATCTGCGTAAAGAAAAGAGTGAGTCCCATCACCTGAGCTGCTGGGAAAAACAGGGTTAACAAGCAGTTCTTCAAAGCAAATCACTGCCAAAGCCACACAAAATCATTCAGAAATAAAGACTGTAGTGTAGATCGTTGGGAAAAACGCACTGTTACTCAGCACTAAAACAGATATGGCGTAAAGACATTTCTCCTGGTCCTGGAGTGTTTTTGCACAACGCCATCCTAACTCAAACTCTACATTTGACTGAGTTCAATAGTTGGCACCACGACACAATAATATAATAAGAAATCATACAAAAACAGCTATTTAAGATAACCCAGGCCTATTTAAAATATCACATTCAACCATAACATTATTACACAGAAATAAGTTAGAATAAGAACAGCACTGTAAGAACCGAGCTGAAACTATCTTATATACGTGCATGGTTTATGGCACTGCTTAAAAGATTTTAAAAAATTAAATTGGCTAAATATATATATATATATATATTGGCTGGAATGGCATTTTCTGCTTATGATGATGTGGATTTAGTCGTTTCTTTATAGCTATTCAAACATTACACCCAAAGCAGCCGTTCGTATCAATATGTCAGCATATAATAGTTTTGGTACGCATTATAAATTATCTCTTTAAAAAGTACAGTATATAAAATGAGACTCGGCGGTTGTATGCGGCACGGCAAATCAAGAAAAAACCACGATAAACAAGAGTCAAGAGAGGAAGAAAATCATACAAATGCTTGAACAGAATATAGCTATCTGTTCTAACAGAGAGAAAGACTAGAAATCTCCAAACAGCAGTAGAATCAGCACACTGCTATCATCATGTACAAATAAACCTAACCAGAGAAATACAACAACTGGCTTTGCATTGCACTTTTTAAAATATCTTACATACTGTATAGAAGTAGCTCGTAATATTACGTCTAAATACATCCGCAAGGATGCTTTTCTGATGTTCTGTTAGAGTTTGGGAAACGAGACTGAGAGACGTCAGAAGAACATTTGATTTAGTGGAAGTGTGTGTGTGTGTGTGTGTGTGTGAGTGTCCATGATCTGGACTCGTGAAGCATTCATGAACTCAGTGTGTCGTTTCTATGGACCTGATTGCATGCACCGGACAAATGCGACTGGTCAGTCCTGCTGAAAAGTCTTTACAGGGTCCTCTGTTTGCGTGTGTGTGTGTGTGTCCATCCACCCGTGTCGGAGCTTCTCACAGGGACACTTTTCATGAAATCTTCTCCACCCTTTGCAACCATTTTCCTGGTCCACACACACACACACACACACACACACACACACACAGAGAGAGAGAGATACTGAGAATCAGACATGGTTTCTGCACATCATAATAAAGTCATAATGATAAGAATAAAATAATAGTAAAAGAAAATATTTACCACATCACTGCACGACACAACACTTGTGCTTATTTGCATGAGGTTTACCTGCCCCTGTGTTTAACCGAAAGTACAAGTAGACCGGCTGCAGAGAATACAACAAACAGCAGAATTCAGACCGAGACTTGATCAGGAACAAACTTCAGCTCATTCTTTAGTTAAGATGAGCTGTTCTGAACATAGACATTCATTTAATAGTTTACTCACTCACTAAGTCACACACACACACACACACACACACACACACACAAACTCTCACACACACACACACACAC